CGCGCGCGCTCACCTAGTCACGCGCTCACTCACCCAGCCACCAACCAATTAAGTTCATGTTAAATTAATTATAATATTCTTATAAGCCGCAATATAATATGATAACCTTATGCGCGCGACAAGAACATGCAAACCATGTAAAAGTTGCCATGTCATTTCACGTGAAATTTCCGTTGATTTCGGATTGTCACTCTTCGCTCTGATTTCCGCCTCTGTTTTCGTCATTAAAAAAATCCTCGTCGGCGCTACTGACAGCAAATCGTTCTCGTGAGACTCGCGGCAACACTCGCTGCATCGAATGATGAGCAAACACGCTCCCAATCTAGTAGCCGCGACCAACGATTTGTACCTCCGCCAAGGTTATGTTTTCGCCCCTGTTAGTTTGTTTGTTGGTTTGTTTGCTGGGTTGTTTGTCTGTCAACAGAATATCTCAAAAAGTTACCGACAGATTTGGATGAATTTTTTTGGACGGGTTGGTCTTGGGCCAAAAACCAATCGATTAGATTTTGGTGATGATCCGGATCCAGATTTGGATCCAGGATTTTTTTTAGACTTTTGTTTGTGGGGAAGACTTCGGACGCATTCAAAATTCGTTAAAAAAAATCCTGGATCTTTTTCTCTTTTTTTTCTTCCAAATTTCTGAAAATTTCATCAAACTCTATATTGGGTGTACCAGCAAGATCGGAGGGACTATTACGTTCTGGCGGAGGTTTGCTATCTCCGATTGCTCTTGTTATACTCTTACGTTCGTATTTACCCCAGCCGTCGTCGTCGGAGACTTCGTCGGCCACATTCTCGAGCGACGACAATGGCACTTCTTGCGCGGCAAGGCCAAGAGCGTGGAGTTGATTGCTCACACCACTGGTCAATTCGTCGTTCAGCTGACCGTTGGTCTTTAGCGAGCCGTCGAGCCGTGAGGGGCCCTGCTTGGCTCCGGCGTACTGCAACTGGCCTGCGAGAAAAGCGCATGCGTGTGAAACGCTACTTCTACATTATTATATAATGTGTTATTATCTACTCTTGATCTATATAAACACGAACACCAAACTCAATATGGTGGTATTCGTAA